GGCATTCATATGCACAGCAAGATGCACAGGTGCATATCATGCATGCCTTATTAAAATGTGTTAGACTTTTGTCCCAAATGAGAGCTAAAACCTTGGCAGCCATCCCTGGCTTCCCTACTTTCTGTTAGGTCAATATAAGCAACTGAAAACACAGACTACTCCATACCATCAAATTTATACTATACTTCCCAACAGCAAGAAGAGCAATGAGATGGCAAGAAAACTTTTCAATAATGCTCTTCAGAATCATAAAATTATTGAAAATTAGGGTTGGAAGGGACTTCAGGAGGTCACCTAGTCCAACACCCTGCTCAAAGCAGGACCATCCTCAACTGAGGGGGAAGGGCTCTCATCTCTTCTGGGGGGATTACAGGGAGCATATTTCAAACCCTGCTTCCTGGTGAGAAAAATTTTCCTAATATCTAACCTAAACTTCCCATGTGGCAACTTGAGACCATTGCTCCTTTTTCTGTCATCTGCCACAATGGGGAACAGTCTAGCTCTTCTTTCCAACCACCCTTCAGGCAGTTGAAGGCTGCTACTAACCTCCCCCCTCCCTTACTTTTCTCTTCTCCAGACTAAATAAGCCCAATTCCCTCAGCTTCTCCTCATGAGTCATATGCCTCAACCCCCTAACCATTTTCACTGCCCTCTGCAGGACTCTCTCCAATTTGTCTACATCCTTTCTGTAGTGGGGCGGGGGAGCAAAACTGGACACTGTACTCCAGATGTGGCCTCACCAGTGCTGAATAGAGGGGAATAATCACTTCCCTCGATCTGCTGGCAATACTCCTACTAATGCAGCCCAGTATGCTTTCAACATTTTCCTCTCTCATTTTACTGCTTAAAAGCCACGTGTATATATACCCTGATTCCTTGACTATATGCACCCAGTCCACTTACACTGCTGCAAACCTCTAGTGTAGTTCCATGAACTCCAGTGGAGTCACTCCACATTTCCATCATTGTGAAGAAGTGAAGAACTTAGCATCTGAACATTAGGATGTAATATGTTAGTATTTTAACAGCCCCCATTCATTACTGTCAGGGGGTAGGAGCAGAGTACCCCCCAAAGCCTCTTGATTCTCACCTGCCATGACTTGGATCTTAATAGAAATAGGGAGGAAGGGGGTGATATTTGAGAGAGTACCCGCGGGAAGTACCACACTGGATCGGGTATAATGCAGGTGCTTTTATTCAGCTCTTTTCTCTTCTGTTATTTACAGGAACCCCCTTTGGAGGAGGAAGCAGTCCGACAGACCGATCTCGGCCCACCTCCCTCCCCCACAAGTCTCCGGGCTGAACCCGGTCCACTAATACAATCGGTAAGTACTGCACAAAATCCTGGTATCTGCCGCTAATTATCTCATTAGCAGCTTATTACAGCCGCAGCCTGCGTCTTTTTCCAGCAGCCAGCGTGCAGGCTCCGCGGCGCTCCCATGGTTGGGGCTTGCCTTCTCGACCCTCAGTGTCTCTCTCTACTTGGGATGGGTTCTGGCTTCCCCGGACTCTTTAGGGGTCTGGGCAGGGGTCGTCCCTCCCCGCTGTCTTTTCAGATCGGTGTAGACTCCCCGATCCTTAATGCCGACTGCAGCTCCAGCCCACGGTGCAGCTCCACTTCTCCCCGCACTCATCAAAATGCAGCTCAATTACCCGGGCAGTCTTCCATCTCGTATCTGACCTGTCTTCTGGAGTCCCAACCTCACGGCTCTCTCCGGTATCCCAAGTCAGAATCCTTTTCCACTTTTCCTCTCCTGGGGTCTCAATTAACCCTGAGCTTGTCCTCTTGTGCCCAAAAGCAATTTCTCCTTTACCTTCTCACCCTCTTATCCTTCGGGTCCAGGCCTCATTGGTTCTCTGTGAGCGGGGCCCACCCCCATGGTGTAATTGTCTTCAGCTGCCCCTGTTCCTTTAGTAACAGGGTCTCAATCGGGGCCCTGTTACAATTTTCATGATGAAAACATGACTGCCCTTAAGCCATAAGACTTGGAAAGGTATGAAAAGTACCATTGAAAGATGGAGTCCAGAACAAGTGAAATAAAATGTCAAAAATTATTTGTGTATATTCACAACTGTTTGGAAATACAAACTAATAATGGTGACTGTGCTGTCATTCACTGAACTTACCGTGAATGAATTTATGTAGTACTTTATGTCTGGTACAGGCCTGTGACAACATGGCTCAGTTTTCATATTTAGTGTTAACATGAAAATTGTTATGTTGTTGATCATATGATTTTACTAGAGCAATTTGTGCACCCACATGCCATTACAATGACCATACAAGAAGTGGGTCCAAGGGTTGCTGTAGAAACAGCAACTGAGAATTTATATCACAATGTAAAAACAGTACCTGTTGTTAATGAAAACATTTCACAAACAAAATTTCAGAAGCAGTGCACCAGACACAAAGAGCATCATTAATTGCAAAATGTTCACACTAATATGAAAGCAGAAACTGACATAAGGAAAATACCTTAATACATTTGCCTTTTGCACTAAAAGGCATTTATGTTGCAATATGCTCATTTTATTCATTAAGCTGTTGCATTATCAAACAGAATACTCTCATGGGCTGAGACATGGTTATATATTTTATTATTTATAGATGAAAGGTGTCATCCAGGGCAAAAGTATGTTATTTTAATTACATTATTATCATTACAGGATTTATTATATATCTGAACTCTTGTCCAATTAGCTACACAATAGTTTGATTCTAATTACTGTCCAGCTGGCCAATGCCTGTGATTAATTCCAATGAAATTCCTAGGCCTCAACTCTTCAGCAAACTATGTAAAAAGTCTGGGTGCTGTGTTAACTTTCTGTCTGGTCTTTATAAGCAGCTGCCCAAAAGCCTTGCTACAAGCCAGTCCTAGGACACATACAATTTGAATGCTAGATTGTAAATTCTTTGGCATAGGCACTTCTTATGTGTTTGTAGAAAAGGTAAAAATCAAAGGTTCTACCAGAAAAAGTAATAAAACACAACAAAAAGAAATGTAAGGCCCAACTAGAATTAGATACTTGACAATAGAGGTTCTTGCTGGTACATCCTGTAGGCACTCATGTATAAACCAATCTACCAACTTCTATAGAGAAATCAATTACATGCACATTATGATACCCAAGCTACTGCTGACAACAGATATAAGCCACGCCTGGAGTCCAAACCTGGCTAGGATGAAGCCATGAAATTCAGCTCACACCCAGTAGATGTATAACTGGTATACTACATATGTATCATCTTTCTCTGGATCTTTCTTTTATCTATCATCTGCCTTTCTCTTGGCAATCTTAAACTACAACAATACTTTCCACATGTTCACATTGTTTTGCTGAACGTAACATGGCAGACAGAGGTTATAAGGGACACAGACAGTCTAACAGGAATGATATGCCCAGTATTAGGCTGTAATAGTAACCTCCAAGAGATGTATGCCTTTTACTGCCCATTGGAGCAGGAAGTAGCTAACCCTTCTCAGGGCATATACCAGGTGATATTATTTGGTAATATAACTGGCAGCAGAGCTGATCATTGGATATAAACTGGCTAAGAAACAGGTCTTAATGGCAAAGCAGTGTAACTTTTATTGATTTGACATTCTGTGGAAATGCAAGAAAGCAGTAAGTGACACTCCTGGGCTGCAAGAAGGCTGTATATAGCATTTAGAGGAGCCTGGGCTGAGATTATTTTATACCTTTGTGCCAACAGACTTTTCTGGCTGCACACTCACATACACTGGACCCACACAGACCCTTTCTGCCCTGTAGCATGAGAGTTGCACCAGTATGGGCATGACAAAGGACTATAAGACACTACTCCACCATTTACACCTAAGCTGTAACATTACCTTATGGCAGAATTTGATGCAAGGGCTTCCAGGGACATTGCTTCCTCTCTTTCCCACCAGTGTACCTCTACTGACTTCAACAGAATTACTTCTCATTTACACCAGTTTTTACAGGAACAGCCCATTGCTTTTGACTTTGTGATTTTATGCTAGTGCCTTCCTTTTATCCAGCTAATTGGTAGTGTCTGCTACATCACAGGGAGATAGAGCTAAAATCTGGTGCCATTGCAGTCAGCAAGAACCATGCCTCTAAAATCCCTGAAACCAAGACTTTGTTCTGTATCTTTTCTTTCACTAAGTCACTACAAAGAAACCGGTTCCCAAGGTTTGGTGCTCATATCTCAGTCCCAGACACCATCTGCTGTCAAACGGGGGGGGGGGGGGAAAAGGGGCTATGTTCAGCTGGGAATGCATGTGTTCCCTCTTCTTCATAAATATATGACCCTAAAGACAGTGAGCCTTTATTACTATCTGCAGCAAGAAACACACCACACTATGCTCTACCTGACACAGCTGCAGTTCTTCCACATCTGTTTTACAATAACTCATTCAGCATCCAGAATCCCTGTTTCATATTAGCTTAGTGACGAGGAAGAGCACAGGGGCAATGAGAGCAAAAATAAACGGGAGTGAAACGCATATTCACACGTCCTATGGTTTATTCTTCCCAACGATCATTGTAATTTAATTTATGTTGTGGTAGCACATACAGAGCCCTAGCCTCATTGTGTTAGTAATTATACAAACTTAGCAGTGCATGATTCCACACACACAACAGCAGCCTTGCCTCTTCCTAGCAAGGACTTAACAGCACCACTATAGTGATGCTTCAGATTGCTAACACCTACAAGTGCTAACTGCTGCCCACTTGTCCTTCTATAACATTATGAATGGAAGACAAGATTAATGGGCAGAGGTTGATGCAGCTCCTGTTCATTTCAATAGGAGTTGTACCCATTTACATCAAGGGAAAATTTGGCATGAATGCATTTTTTTTAAGTCAAATAAGATGCAACGGACATGAGCAAATTTCCCAAAGGAAAGGAAGAAGGTGGGCAGACAGGCAGAGGCCTAAATGCCAGTGCTGCGTGCGCACTAGACTTCAGCTGATCCACGACACAGAGAGAGAAACAAACAAATGCCTACCAGGCTTAATTTCCAGCAGCTTCAGCCTGGAATCCTCTGGAGGGTGTAGGCGTCTCTTTTTGCGCCAGCAGCGAGCAGGATACGTGTACAGCTGACCCGGAGCCAGGCCTGAAGGGTTAAAAGCAAAAAATAATCAGTCCTGTCTGGGTTTGCAAATCCCCACTCTTCTCTCTGGCATCTTTGCTTTTTCCATTCCCACTACCCCCATCTGTGGAGCTCAATCCTGCATTGTGCAAAGCAGCTCCGGCAACCAAAGGCAATAAGCACTCCGGCTGCTACTCAGCACCTTCTGGAATCAGGCTGACAGAAAATCCACATCTCACAAAAATGCTTCACCCTGTGCAGTTGTTCACTGTAACCAGAGCTGCATGGAAATAATTTGCAATCTCTCCAGGATAAATGGAATTTCATTCTCTCCAAAGTGGCTCAGGGGCAAATACAACCTTCTCCTCCACCCTGGGTACAGAGGCCCCTTTGGGAGAGAAAGGATGCACAAAGCACAGGAAACTGGTACAAGAGTAGAGGGGGCAGTTCAGGGAGCATATTGTCCCCTGAGTAGGACTGAGCCTAGGTCTCTGGGATTTGGCCCAATGGGGCATGAGAAGGCACTGACAAGGCCAGGAATTTCCTCCTGCTCTGTCCCCAGGTCTCTGCCCAGTATTCATTCTGGCTTCTGAGGGTGGCTGGAAGCCACAGGGCTCTGGATTTTGGTTAACAACAGATTATTTTCTGCCCTTATTCGCTGTCCCACACACAAACTTCTCATGAGTGAAGAGATCTAGCAGCAACATTTAAACCACGGCAATCACACCTGGCTGCTTCCTGCCTGTATCTCTGCTGCCCTGACTCTCATGCCATACAGCCCTTAGGAAACACTCAAGCTACACTTTGCTTTGTTCCTCCTTCACAACATAGACGGGCATCACCAGTATATCAGAACTACTGAATATCTAGCACCCAGTGCTGAGAAGCATCTTCAACTCCCATTGAGGCCAGTGACAAATAAAAGCACCCAGCACCTAGAAGAGTCAGGCCTGTAAAAAGAGAACCCTTCCCAATGCCCCCTCCTCTCTCCTCCCCTCCCAACACTGATTCTGGATTTGTTCTTTGTTCCTCCTGCTGTTGCTGTGGCAACATGGAGGGGCTACAGGGTAATGTCACAGTCCCCAGCCTTGCTGTCCTTCGGAGCAAGGTAAAAGGAAATGTTTCATCCAAAACAATATAAAAGATAGGACACAGGTGGCTTTAGCATCTTAGCCACAAATGGTGACCATGAGGAGCTTGACAATATGAAGCCCGTGTCAATAATGCATAACATCATGAATGTATGGAGATGCCTGGGGAGTGGCAGGACATGAACCAGCCTCACACACTCAGGAATGTTTACCAGGCCAGAAATAAAATCAACTCCCCAAACCAGATCATGATGTCAAAAAAAACCCTGATATCCTGCTTACTTGTAAAAAAAACAAATTACCCACCCAAAGGAAGGGGCAAATCAAATGTTGCAAGTATGGCCTCAACTTTCGGTCTGAAATATCTTAAGTGCCCAAGAACATAGGTCCAAGTCCCCAACAGGCTTATCCCACTCCTCTGGCTCTTGAGTGCACCAGGTAATTTACTGCATGGCTGCAGGGTGTAAGAGGTTCCTGTCTGCCCTGCATAGATATTAAGCATCCCTTGATACTGTCTGTAAAAATGGAGACTGACTCTGGTGGCCCTAGCAACAATTTCCCTTCCCTGCTGGGCAGCGTGACAGTTGTTACAGCCTACCCCATAAAATGATGCATTTCAGTGACACTGCTAGTCTGTAGGTGGCTTTTAAATATAACAACCTTATGAATACATAACACTTATACATCGCTTGATACAAATGTTCAAGATGGTGTGCAAACATTAACCAATATAAACAACTGCTATTATTGTGGTGCAAATTGTGTCTTGCTCTGACTTTGGTCACTGAAGGGAAGGAGCAGCATGCAAGGAGCCTCACCCTTCCACAGATGTACCCTGTGCAAGAGTCATTCGCAGCTTAGCACTATGCAGGATTGCTCTCACATACACCAGAATGAGCAGGAAGAGTTCAGGCTCCTTGCCCTGGCCCCCTGAGATGTGTCATGTGGCTGAAACAAGGAACAGAACACCTGGACCTTGGTCCACTGTACTGCTTTTGTTATTTTCTTTCAGTGAGACCTGAAAAGCTCCAATGCAATTCTTTTGCATTCTCTCACACATCGGCAATTCTAGGCTCCAGCCAACGATGGTGAAGCACAAACAACCAACATGCGGAAAGCCCAACTAAAAGCAATGCAGGAATGCCTCTTCTCTGGGAATCACCAGCCCAATCCCAACACCAGGTAGACTCCAGCAGGCCTCCAAATGGACCCTCTCTGATTCTCTTAAGGTGAGTCCTCTACTAGCGGACACTTACAAAGCCTTCTCAGCAGCCAGCCACTAAACTTGGAACAAAACACAACCTTTTATTTGTATCAAATAAACAAATGTAATACAACCTGCATGGAAAAGAATGTTCCCTCTCCCTCTTCCCATGTGTTAATGTGGAAGTGAGGTACAGGAGAATGGCCTCCCAACAGCCTTCCCCATGCCCATGGTAGCATGTGTACACTTCTTGCTCTCCTTAGTCTTTGCACTCTCGTGCCTTATAGGGCAACCACAGAAGGTTCCAACCATTTGCTTACAGAGGAAATAGCAGGACTTACAGTGAGTTATGTTGTTTATCTCATTAGCGGAGGAGAGTCATAACTCAAAGCTTGTGTGAAAGGCTGGGGAACGAGGGGAAAAAGGGGGAGTTATGTGCAGCATGGTGTGAAATTAACCCTGCGCTGTTTGTCATGAGAGGCAGCCTTCGAATTCCTTTAAGAAAGAGAACTGTAAGAAAACAAGTTTATGCACTAGGATCCTGACTCTACTCCCTCTATTAAACCTTGAACTTGTGAAAAGAGGTTCTTTATCTTTTCTTTTTTCTTGCCCAAACAGTCCTTCAGGGTATGGACAGAGAAAAGTAAATACAACAGAAGCACATAAAAACTGAACATCTGCCTAGCTGGTGGAGAATTTTCATTGGGTTCAGGAGTACACTGTGTGGCTTGAAAACACCTACACTTATACTACTATGTCCCATCACAACAGAGCTACAAGAGATGAATGACTCAGAGATGCCCAAAGGGGTACAAAATGAGATAAAAGAAATTAAGCAGCCAAATGGTTATGAGGGGGAAAAGGGCTACTTCTTTTTCTCTAAATTATTTTAATTTAAAATAAAAAGGTCTCTGACTTGGTAGCTGATGCAGACATAGGGTGCTTGATCTGTTTTACATTCTTGTTAAAGCGTGCCCTACCTTTTAACTGGTCCTCACCACAGCCCAGCAAGAAAAGGAACGGTTGTTGTCCCCATTTTACAGATTCACAAACTAAAGGGGTGACTGGGGCCAAAGCATAAATAAGACAGCTAGGTTTGCCTATGATAGCACAGTAAGTAACAGAGCTGGGAAACAGACCCAGATCTCCTGGATCTTATTCATGTGTGAAACACTAGCCAGCAATTCCTCCCATAAACACAGATGTCTTTGTATGTCCTGTATAAGACTTGCCTGGTAGCATATGCCTGGTAGGTCCTCCCAGAACATGGTTTGTATATCTACTGAATGACTACCTGCTTATGACTGAGTTCAAATGGATAAAGATAGCAGCACCTCACTCATAACCAGATGCTGCAAGAACAGAAATTCCTTGAGTAAATTTATTTGCAAAAAGAAGGGGAAAAATGTTAGTTTTGCCAAAGAATAAACCCTCTGGAATAGGGAATTCCCAGATGAAACAAAAACCAACTGTGCCCATGAGAGATCCTTTGAGACTTCTTGTAAATGAAGGTTTAATTCTAGTCTCAAGCCATGTGACTATGTTGTGACACCCCACATTCTCCCAGCACTTCCAAGAGCACAAGAGATTCCTTAGTATTTATTCAAAACTACTGGCTAGTGATGCTCTGCATTGTTAAAGCAGTTATTGAATCCTACACCAGGAATGGCAGTGTTCTTCATGTCAGTAGTGGGTGATGTGATACCCTATAGATAGATCCCCTTACTCTCTTCACAGGGGTTTTGTAAGGTTTGACTAGTTAGGGCCCAATCCTACTCTAACTGCTAGTATGCATGATGGGTACACAGTGCAAGAAACCTTGCATTGTTAAAAGGCCAATGAAAATCCTGGTCTTTCCACCTGACAGCGTGAAAGGAGTACTTTCTCAGTAGGTCTCTGGGAGAAGCCATACCTCAGAGAGGTCAGTCACAGTATCCCACACCTCTGGAATGGGTGATGGAGACTGCTGATATCCATTTATAAGGACACAATGTGTGAGTCTGCACACAGACATACGAGTTCCATGAAGACCCTCAGCCAACCCCAACACATTTTCCCTGTGCTATACTGGGGGAAAAATAACTTGGCAGAGATCAATGTGTGTCAGACAACCTATCCTCCCAACAAATAAAGGGCCTTTACTCTGCCAGAATTCCCATTGATTTCACTGGGAATTTTGTCTAAGTGAGACCCTCAGGGTTTGAGCCAGCCGCCTCCACAGGATTTCAAGCTGCATCACAAACATTAACGTGTTAGATCCTGATCCATGGGCTGCTGAAATAATGCATCTTTCCATTGACTTCAATGCACTTTCAATCAGGCCTTTAGTCCTCAACATTTATGTGAAGATACAGCTATCATCTTCTTTGTACAAATGGGGAAACTGAGACACAGGCTGTCTTCACAACAGGAACTGCTGCTGTTGCTGCTGCTTTAGCTATGGCAGCCACACTACCATGGTGGGTCTCCCTAGTGTTAACACAGTTCTGGCAGCAGCAAGATACTGCTGCTCCCCCAAACATCAGAAGCTCTGCTGCCAGAGCTGTACACATGTTGGGGGTTCAGCATCAGCTACAGAGTGTGATCTAGCCAACAGAGCTCTTCTGCAAAACACTCTGGTAAAGACAGATAACCAAGACAGAACTGAAACTAGGACTGAGATTTGTATCCTGACCCCCTACTCCAATCAGTGGAACAATGTAAATTTTAAAAATAATATCTCTTCAATG